GCTTTGTCCTGAGCGTTACTGATGGAACTTAAGATAGACACATACAACCATAGATTTGACAAGACATAGAGAACAGGCAGCAATTTTTTTTGTTACTGAATTTTTCTTTTCTTTTCATCCCCTTCTCCCTGCAAGACGCTGAAGTAGTAATCTTTTTTGGAGGGCAGTGTTTTTAATTTTTGTGCTTATAGAAAGAAAAAGAACTTTAGCAAACCTAAATGCCACAAGCTAGGTGTCTCGTGTAAAGGCGCGAAGCAGACGTCGGGAGCTCTTAGCTCGGTGCTAAGCCTCCTTGCTTGCTTCAGGCTGCTTTTTGCAGGGGGGTGAAGCGGCCCTCAGCCCACCGGCCCGTTCCTTTGCCTGCCGCAGGGTTTAGTGAGAAGCCGCAGCTCTAGGGTGCTGAAATTCAGAAGCCAGCAGGCAGGAGGAGCGAGCGGGGCTTAGGTGTCGGTAAGGCGTAATCAGGTACGCTACTAGCCAGCCGTTTCTGCCTCTGTTTAACCTGTCTGAGGATCGAAATAATATTTGCAGCCGGTGAAAACACCTATAACACGTGACTACCAGGCTTTTTTTAATTGCATTTTTGTCAGTCCTTTAAATGTTCTTTTTCAATAAAATTTTCCAAATATTCTGAAGAAAATGCATTTCTTTTCTTACCATCCATCTTTCCTGCCTATGAAAAAGCTGTTGCATTTGATAGCAGAAAAGGAACGTCGTTCCCGAAACGTGAGCCTGCAGAAAATAGATACGTTTTTCGAGTTACCTGATGCGCAGGGTCTAGCTCTATAAAATCTGTGTGGCCCAAAAGGTATGAAAGTGGAAAAGCAGCAAATGCACACCTCTCCGCTGAGCTGTCCCGTTTCTTTTGTTGTTTCTGAACAGAGGTCGGATGGGAGCAGCTCCCCGGCTCGTGTACGTGCGGCTGCCTCTGCCAGCTGAGGGTCGGGTTTGCGCGAGCTCCGTGCTTCCGCTCGCAGCGGGCAAGGGAAACGGCGAGCAAAATCACTTGGGTGGCAGCTACTACTGGCTGCTGTCGACGTATGTCATCCGTCCACCCGCGCTGAATAATCTCGGAGAGGAGAGGCAGCACTGTGCTGGGCTCCTCGATGCCGAGAGGTCGTGCGGCGCTGCGGGCTGGGAGAGGCAGCGCCTGCCTCGGCGCGCTCGGACGCCGTTACTGCTTCCTAGAGGGGGGCTTGGGTAGAATAAAGAACAAGTAATGACGTGCCTCTCAAACGAAAGTGGGAAGAATTTTGTGTGGATTTGAGGAAGTTATTCTGATGCGTTTTCTCTGAGGCAAGAAAAAAAATGCTGTCCCCCCGCCTCTATGTTTCGAGTTTGGGTCGTAGCCGCAGTGTTAAAATGGGCTCGAGAGATCCTGGCTGTTTTCTTTGGGGTGAAACTTTTTGGAGGTTTCCAACGCAAGAGGGCTCGCAGCCCCTGCTGTTTAAGCACTGCTGCTCTTACAGAGGGGCCGAGAGGGGAAAGACGGGGCTCGTGGGACGCGTCGCGGAGGCAGGCGGTGGCCTGGCCTGGGCCGCTCCTGCCCGGCGCCGGCACCCGGCCGCTAATAAGCGGCTGCAGAGTACCCGAGCTGTCAAAACTCGTTGAAATGGGAAAGGCAGGGATATCTTCCTGCCGTATGTCTCCTTTCTTAATGAAAATTCGCCTGCCTTGGGCCGCCTCCCCCCCGAAAAAGGGACCTGCTGGACTGTGTTTCTTTTTACATCGCGCTCTGTGTCGGTGCAGGAAACCCTGTAACACCTCCGTGGCTTGTTTGTTCGTCGGGTAAACGGGGGCGGTGCTTTGGGAGATGCTGCTTGGATGAACAGCAAGGCTTGGCTGCTTGTGTCTGAGCGGTAACTTCTTTTTCAGCTGCTTTTGACTTTTTCCAGTCGGGGGGCATGGCGATGCCCTCGCCGGAGGTGCGGGCCGCTGGGGGTCTCAGCCGCCCGCGCAGGCGCTGCAGCGGCCTCTGCGGCCTTGTCCGTCTTAGTCAGCCCCGAAGCAGGTCGCAGACGCCCAGCGGCGCGGGGCGCAAACCGCGGAGCTGGGCCGTACGGAGAGACGCGGAGAAAGGACGTGCTGCCTGGGCCTAGGCAGGGAGGCGGCCGCCCTCCTGGGTCTGCCACTGCCTGCGCTCACGCTTGTCATCGCGTTTCTGCAGAACGAATCCTGATTTATATGAAACACGCTTTCAGGCCGTATAAAGCACAGGCTTAAATGGTAATGACTGGTGCAAAACTTTGGGCAGACCAGTGCCCGTAGTACTTTAAAGCCAGGATGTTTGCTGAAAGGTTGCAGATTTTAGAAACGGCTTGAGACGGACGGACGGACAGACGAGGGGCCGAGAGCGTGAGCCTGGCGCGCGGGCGCGTCTCCACCTGCCTCTCCCCTGCCGCGCACCCGCAGTGCCCGCGGAGGGCTCAGCTCCGCCGCAGCCTTCGCTCGCCGTTCCAGCTCCTCGAAAGGCTGTTTCCCCTCTTCCCTCGGAACAAATACGTTTTACCACAAGCTTTAGTTTGCAAGTGAAGTTATCAGAGCGAGGGAGCAAAGTGTAGCGCAAAACAGATCCCCAGGCTGCAAGGGGAGAGGGTAGGGGAGGACAGGGGCAGGCAGCCCGAATGCCTGCCCGGGAGCGGGAGGGCGTCTGCTGCCTGCGGGGTGGAGAAGCCCTCGACGATCCCCACTCCCTCGCAGGAGTTGTTCCCTGGAAAATTTACAGCTCTGAGCTGATTGTTTGACTTGGCTCTATGGTCAGGATGCTGCCTTGTAAACTTAATAATAGCTGCCCTCTTTTTAATTTGTTTGACCTTGACTACAGTAATTTATTATGTGCATTAGATCTTTTTTAAAAAAACACACAGCAACAAAGAATTTGGCTCCCTTTTTGTCCTTCCACGGTACTCTGGTTTTGAACTCCTCCTGCGTGACGGCACCCGGTGCGTCTGCATGACAACTGCAGAGGACAACGTGGAAAGGAATCTTCTTGGAAAGGAGATTCTCCAGGTGTAGGCTAGCGAGAGCTGCTTTTCTCAATATCTGTCTTTATATGAGCTGGGTTTGGGCCTTTTTTTCCTGGCAGCTCCTTTTGAGGAAAAGCTTGTTTGTATTTTTGCAAGTGATTTTGCTGCAAACAAGCAAGCAAACCGACCAGCACCCCCCGGCAGGGACCCTCGGCTTTCGTATAGCTGCTCAAACTGCGTCTTGTGGGTTTTGAGGGCTCAGCAGAGTCCAGGCAACTGCTCGCGGGGCTTCTTGTCTGCTGCCCAGGCCTCAGCAGGCGAACAGGCTCTCTCCTGCCTGTGTGATTTCGCTGTGATGCTCAAAATGAAACCACTTTGCTGTTTCAGCCTACCCTGGAGGCTTGGTTTCTCTAGCCGATCACTTGCAAATTTGTTGCTTTTTTTTTAGACCCTCGTCAGAGTATTACGTTTTCTTTACGAGCATAACATTAGGAAAATAATTAGAATTGTGTGAGCTTCCTGATGCATAAGTCAATCCTCCTATCTGTCTGTTTTAGAAGAGCACACGTTTCGTTGCGAGGACTGCGATGAGCTTTTCCAGTCCAAGCTCGACCTGCGGCGACACAAGAAGTACGCCTGCAGCTCCGTGGGCTCGCTCTATGAGACGCTGAACGAGGAGATCAAGCAGGAGGCTCTTGGAGATGGACAGGTCTATGAGTGCAAAGACTGTGAGAGGATGTTCCCCAATAAATACAGGTAATGGAGAACTGCCGGCTGCTCCTCTGGCTGGCCACGCTTCCTCACCCACGCCTGGCCGGGCTGGTTATGGCAAATGCGGGATCACGGGGGGAGCTGGGCAGGTCAGGACCGCTGCTAGAAGAGACCTTTCCTTTCTTGGTGCCCCCTTCAAACTGGGTTCTGCAAAGAGTTTTTAGAAATGGTTCAGTGTCAGTAGCTATTGGACAGCTTCTTGTCTCACTCCAGTTTCGCAGACTGGGGTGTTACCATCCGTCTTTTCAGCACCCATCAGAAGAATCATCCGCTCTATGTGGCAATGATTTTTGCAATATCAAGTTTAAATGCTTTGTTTTCTGAATTCCACACTTTTTCAGGGCTGGGGCAAAGACAATTGATAGCGCTAGTAAGCTTGGAGCTCCCAGGTGGTCTAATTCTGGGTGAAAACAGCAGTATTGCATTTTGTCAGAATTTGCATGAATTTTTTTTTTTTTATGTAATTCTTGGTCATTTGAGGTCAATGGATAATAAAGAGACATTGTTATACTAAAGACTAACATAGTCATGACTTCCTACATTTGATCTTACAGAAGCAATTTAAAAAATTCTCTTAAAAATATTTCAAAATAATTTTTAAATGAAAATGTTCACGAGCAGATTTTGTGTTCACCAAGCATTTTTATAATGGAATCATAAAAAAAAATAAAAAGGAAATGGGATACTGTCCATCTCATATTGTTATTGTCGATGATTAGTCAATTATTGTGAGGCAACTCAAAATGAGAATTAAACTTTTTTTGAAGGGAAAACTATTCGTCCCATTAAGCGTTAACTAAAAGTTTCCGTCTTTCAAGTGGAAAGTGATAGTACTCAAGTGCAGCTTTAAAACAGAGATCTTTGAGCTTTCTGATTCATTTGCACTGTGAGACTCAAATGGTTAAATATCAGGAGCCAGCTTTAAAAAATGAGTATTTTTGTTCTTTAAGCATTTTAGGATTCTGTTTATTTGCATCCTGCATCTGTAACATTTGGGCTGAGCTTTCAAGATTTTTCCACAACATGAGCGCTAGAATTTTGTCTTTTTACCAGAAGCTGAAGTTCACCCATCATCGTTTGATCCCAGGAGTTAACTCCTTTAACAAACAAGCACCACGCAAAGCAAGATTTGTTATAAAATTGTGAGAACTGGCAATACTCTGTCATGTAGTACATGAATAGAGCAAAAACTTTGAGCTTTATGCCAATTTAAAGCCTGTTTCGTTTCAATTAAAAATTCAATAAGCAGATGTTGGCCAACGTAGTTATTTTGAATTTAATTGTACTATTGCTCTCAGATCTTTTATTTAGGTGAATAAGTGAAGAAAAACATAAATTAAAAAACAGAGCACCAAGGAAAGTGCAGTGTAAAAGACATTCCACTGCTTTATCCATCTGCCTTAAAAGAGGGCCTGGCTTTCCAGAAATTCGGTAATGGGCGTTGTCTCCCAATGATATCTGTATAAGCTTTCTATCTGTACAGTTTGCTGACTTTTTTCCTCACCTTTTGTTTCCATGTTGCCTGCTTTTCATTACATACTGGAAGACTGCAGTTTCTTAGATTTTTTTTACCTAGGAGACCCTCATTCAGGTGTTTTAAAAATGTGAATTTTTCAGTAGAAATTCCGGTTCTTTTTCTCTCTCTAGCTGTGTCAGGAAGATTCTCCTCTTTAGCTTCCGGCATTCTGTACTTTGCACGTTAATTTAAGAAATACCCTTTTGAAATTTCTGTTATATATAGTCTCTTCTTGCCAACAGTTGCGTGTCTCCTGGCTCCCCTTGCGGGCTTTGGATGGGACTCTTTTCACTTTACGGAGGGT